GGTGGTGGTGGTGGTGGTGGTGGTGGTGGTGGTGGTAGTGGTGGTGATGGTGGTGTGCAACGCGCAGCACTTGCCGTGTAGGCGGTAAACGAATTAAAAAGTAAACGGCCAGCCGTAAAAGTTAATAGCTGTTCGGATGAAAATTAAAACACTCGAGGAATTAAGATAACGGAGAGAAAGGAAGCCAGACAATCTGGGCGAGATTGACTGCAGCCCGAGAGCTGGAACCTGGCACGAGCGTAAAACGTCAATCCCTCTCTTTAAATAGGAACATCCCACCCGTAAGCGCACCTCTTTCTTTTTCTTCGAACCCTTCGCAAGGCTGCACGGTGCGACGTACAGGATAGACGAAGATAGGAATAAACTTGTTAAAAATAACGTTGTTCGATTTTGATCTCATTACTCGGTGATATCATCGGTATGAAAGTGATACAAATGTAAACGATAACTCGCGGGAAAATCGACAGAGCATTAGTAGAAATCGTTTGTACATCAAAAAAGTCTAATCGCTTGAAAATTACCAAGCTCGTTACTATACGTTCTTGTCTGTTAATTCCTGTTAAATAATAATTGTTACACCGTAAATGTGAAGAATTTGAGCAAAGATACGTATGCTTCTAATTTCCAATTTGAAAATTTCTTTCTTACTTTCAACAGCGATTTAAAAAAAAGGAAACGGTTCGAACGATCCTGCAAGTTTTTATTCCGCGTCAGAAAGGTATTGCATCGCATCGCTATAGGATTTTGTCCTGCTAAAAACTGCTATGCTAGATGTTCTTCATTTTTTAACGAGGTCCATTCGTAATCACTTGCTTGAGAAGTGGATTTCTGACCATATTTATCTCAAAAAAGGCTTTAAAAGTTACAGGAAAACTGTGTCATTCGTTAAACGCCAGCACAATGTCCGCTGAAACGCAGGATAAGTGCTGTTATTAAGACGTTATTTATTTAAACGTCATCATGCGCGGTTAGACGAGAAAGAAATATTTAAGACTGATATTTCAACCGACCCAGGAACCAGAGAAGATACTATCAAAGATTCGATAAGCAAACTTTTACCTACGTCGGGTTTCCTGATATCGAGTTTTAGGGAAACTGCACATTACAAGCATTTTTTTATCTTTGTACCGAATAATAGTTCAAATGCCACACCGTGGAATGGCTGGGTTGACTTGCAGGAAATGGAAGGTGTTGTCGCATGTTGATAGAAAGGAGGATTTTTAGAAAAGGGGAGTCTTGTGGGTTTCTCTGGGTTTTGAGCAATAGTAGATTCGCAGATGATTGCGCTTAACACTGTCGCAAAGGACGCAACTCTGAGGAACCTCAGAGCCCTGAAGGAGGCAGCTGCAATGCTGGCGAAACGTGACGAAGAATTTCCTTCTGGACACGGCTTACGCGCAAAAGCCTCGAACAGTGTGACAATCCAGGCCGTGAGAACCTTAAGATGAAGCCTCTCAGTTGGTAGATGGCTGTTTTCAGAAGATGGATAGAGTTTGAAATCTTCAGTCTTTCCAAACCTACGTTTGATGATGGTGAGTGTTAGAGAATGTTGATGGATGGACAAATTTTTTAATTGGAAATCTTTTAATTCTTTTTCGATTTTTCTGAATTGTATCGATAGATCGTGGTTTTTTAGGAGGTTGATAAGGTTCAAAAGTATATCTTCCGAAGGTATAAGAGGTGAAGAATATCGATGGAAAGTGGGATTCCTGGTTGATAGGTTTCTTTTTTGGTTTTCTGTGAGTCTTGACGAATAGTAGCGGTGAATAGTATTCGTTGATGGTAATCTTAGCCAGTTAGTTGTTTTCGACGAGTATACTCGTCACGCTTAAACAGTAGTTACAATTTGCTGTTTAAGTCGGAATTTAGTAATTGCAATAAATTGCAGTAATAAAATTAAGAAATAAAACCCGTTGTCTTAGGTACACGCTTTTTAAACAGATCACTCTGATAGAAATTCTCACTTGGTACTAGTATGTTTGCAAGATTATGTTTGCAAGTGAAAGAGAATGAGAAAAAGAAGATATTCGGGTCGAACGCGTGCGTTCCTTTAGACTAAGAGTTGGCTTCACAGAAGCAAAGGTTTAATTACGCACATATACTATCTACCTATATCACGAAAGAATTAGAAGTACTAAAAGAAATCAAAGTTGCAAATTCAATAATTATAGCACGTTGCTAATTAACTTAAGGGAGAAGAAGAATGCGACAGAGACAAGTTTCCAACGAAAGGGTTCGTTTATGATTCCAGGTATGGTTCCAGAACAGGAGGACAAAATGGCGGAAAAAGCACGCGGCTGAAATGGCGACGGCGAAGAGGAGGCAAGAAGAGGTCGAGGGCGTCGTCGCCGAGGGTGAGGATGGTTGCAGCGACGCGGAGGCTGAGGGAAACAGCGAGACTGCAGCGAAGAGGCTGAGAAGGGAGCTCGAGCAACAATACAGGCATTAAAACACGCGAATAAAGAAACGAAATAAAAGAACGAATCGAAGGACTAGATTCACTAGATAGATTCGTAAGAGGATGTGAAAGAGTACGTGGCAAAGAGAATTTTAGAAAAGGAACATCAAGACACACCGATCGTTAAACATTCCCCTTTTCTTTATTTCTCATTTTTTCAACGTTCTTCACATTGTCAAAAGAAGCTTTAAGGGAAGTTGACTTCACGAAAGACGAAGATTTTCAACCGGTTCAATAATAATTCTAGCGTTAAAATGTTCTACCAATTGACCTAAAATAATTCAAAGAGTAAGTTGCTGCAAAAGAATTATGGTTTTTTTTCAGTTTAAATTTGTTAGAAAATTGCTATAATAAGAGACGTCCACGTGGTTGTTCTATGGAAAGGGAAAAAAGAAAATGCCTCGAAGCGTTCGTTTCAATGTGTTAAATAGAAGAGAAGAAAATTTGTTAAAATGTCGATATGAACGTGACGCCACCAAGACTGACGAGTTGAAGAAAAATGACTATCCATACGATGATCGAAGAACTTGTCAATTTATGTGAAAAAGAAGATATTCGAAGGCTGACTTCATCTAACTTATAATATTGTGCCGTTAAAACGTGTTAACTTGTACAGAAGCGTTCGAGGAGGATGTATACGACTTTCTATATAGATATGAATTTATTATATAATTGATGTTATCAATTAATGTAATTATTATTAAAGAACCAAAGATCGACGCGTATTAGTTAGAAAGAATAATTCGACTAATTAATTTTTATACAAAAGGGAAGAATTGACGTAAATAGTTGAAAAATAAATTCAACTGAATGCCTGGTGGTTGTATTCGAGTAAGAAGGATCGATACGTCGAATTTTCGCAAGATAATGAGTTTTAGTGGCACAATTGGCGAGATTGCTATTTTCACAAGTCCATTTATCTAAATGTTTTAAGTTAACGAACCGCTGAGAAATATAAACGCATTCCTCTTTCTTTCCGACAAATCTCACCGACGAGTTTTTAACGTTTATAGAGCTCTATCGTCGTTTGTATATATTTGTATCAAGATAAAATTATACTATAACGAAAGGATCGTGCCGTCTGGACGTACGTTGCAAGAAATACACGCAAAATTATTATATTATAACTGAATGACAGTAATTTATACGTATGCGATTATTTGCAGGATCTTCAGATTAGAATAAATATTTTACGGATATCGAGGGGTAAATTTCTTTTATGGCAATCGGCAAGGAATTTTTAAGGCAAGAAAAAGAAGAAGTCTCTTTGTGGTGAGGCACAATCATGTTATCGACAAATCAAACTTTGTATGTTTATCGTGTAGATCGAAAATAAACACGGTTGTTGTTATATAGTTTAATTAGTCGAGAATTAGTAATAGATCTCGGCGGCTGAATCTAGTCATGTCTATGTTAAAATTGTCATTTCTACGATAACGATTAAGTTACAAGGATTGTAGGAAATTTTAGTCAGGGTAATAGCGAAATCGCGATTTTCGAAAACAATAATGGACAGTTTGAAAATTGGAGAATTCGAAAAATCTACACATACATATTGGAACTCGAGAATTTCCAAAAGTTTCGAATTTCAAGAAGTTCAGTGTTTGTAAATGTAGAAACTGAACAGTTGAAAGATTTAAGAATTGAAGAAATTCTACGAATTTAAGGTACACGTTTAAGGATATAAAAGTTGGACATTTTAGGGATTACAAATTTGGGAATTTGAGCGTTTAGAAATTTCAAGTCAAAAGATTTCAGATATCTGGCTATAAGAATCTGTATATTTATAAATACGTACTCTACAAAATTATAAATCTTGTATCATGCTAAAAGCAATTTAAGCCACTTTTTCTGAATCTTGCCTTAAAATTAGAGCGTTTCCAGCTAAAGAGAAATTATGGTTCCACTAGGTCGATCAATCCTGCAAGTAATTAACTATAATAATAAAAGAAACGCCGGTAAGCTCGTATTCAGTTAAACAGCACGTGTATAGTAAATGTATGCTGAGTAATCAGACAAGCCATTAACACCACCACTATGAGTATAAATATATAAATATTCAAATAAATTAAACGCGAATGTGAAACGAACGAGAATAAAGATTCAAAGGAAATGAAATATGCGTAAGAGGTAAATGAATCGAACGATTCCCCTTAAGAATTCTCTATTTACGTCCCAGTGAACTATGCCAATGAACGAATAAGCGAATTCAAATGAATTTTGTATATTCTGTAGATACGATAAACGTGAATGTGATATTTAACGTATTTAATAAGAATCTGACGTATAGATATACATATGGGACGACTTTCGGGCGCATAGCTGATATTTTTAAACGTATTTTATAAATTAGCAAAATTCCATTAATAGTAGAAATCATATAACAACTATCTTCTATCTTCTTTTTCTCGTTTGTTACAAGTGGAAAAAATAGAAACCATACGATTGCCAGATCGCGTAGAAACTCCTCTGCTTCTAAAGAACAGACAAAAATTAGTAAAATTCGTTAAAATAAGAAGAAAAACTCGAGAACCAGGACGTTCGACGTTACAACTAAAAATGTGTAGATTTGAGATTTCCAAAGTTTCGAAATTTGTAGATTCGAAAATGCACAGGTTTCCTGATCTGAATATTTTCGATTTTACAAATTTCAGAATTTGAAAATCCAGCAGTTTGAATCCAATCGGATTAAGGATTCCATAATTCTCTTAAGGATTCCATAATTTGGTATTACAAAAACTGTAGGCATCCTGATCGCCCGTTATATCCGCACTCGAAATGATCAAACTACTGAAAAAAATTCATGCGATCGCCCGAAACTCGTCCAACGAGTAAATAGGTGTTCCCCAATTAAACTCGAAGGAGGAAAAAAAGCGAAAAAAAAATAGGATCGTAGACGTACACGTATACATAATGTGTAATCGCAGGAAGCGTGCGACTAAAGGCAAAGTATTGGTTACCAACGAAGAACCGGAAGTCACGCTAAGACCTTCCTGATACCCGAATTAACGCGTATTCTGAATACTCTCGGTGTATCCGATATTCGTACGATGAGAATCGATTTTTAATTGTAAAGTCGTGGCTGGTCAACGAGTTTCGAAATGGAATAATAAGAAATGTAACGATGGAAAAAAGGGTCGAGTGTACTAGCGTACCAGTTACTCGAGCGTTCAACGTGTTATTGTACAGTATTTAGATAAATTGCTAAGCGCGAACGAGGTAGAGACAATCTGTATAAAGTATTGTATAAATTATACATACGTGTTATCTATCGCTTGTGTATTATATCTCCAATTTAATAAATGGAACACGTATTACGGTAATTATAAAAACCACCCTGTGTAAGTCTTTTATCCCTCACGTTTTGCAACATTCGAAATATTTGTATTTATTTCGAATTGAATTACCCGCATTGCGCACAGTTCTTTCCTCGATCGTGTTAACATTTATTTATTTTTTATACTTCACTATTTATGGAAGAAATCTTCTGGGAACTCTTCGAGAAGAAATAGGTAAGTGCGAGATTGTAATGTATGAAATGTTTGATTTTTAATGATTCGTATCTCGTTGAATTCTAAATGGAAAGAGAAATGCTTGATTGTACGATGAAATACGATAACTAAGAAAGAATTATGAATTAAGCTAAAATATTTATTAAGGAAAAATCAGATCCAAAAAACGGATATACGGATATTTAAATTAAAGACTTGAGAATTGAAAGATCTGGAAGTTTGAACATTTTTTAGACTCGATAATTCTCGGCTTTCGAGAATTCGAGAAGATGAGAACTTAAAGATTTGATCATTTGAAATTTTAAGCTGTATTTAGTAAAACAAGTTCAATTTAGAGAAACATTGCGCACCCATATCGATCGAGAATGTGAATCCTTAAACTAAAACGAATGAAAATTTCATCGTGAAATGACTAAAATTAATGTTCTGATGCTTTAACGGATAGTATACGCGTTTTTAATTAATCTTTCTCGAAAATCAATAGAGAGCGTATGGGTAGGTAAATTGAAGACGAAAATCACCAAGACCATCAGGAGCATTGATAGCGACATGCAAGGGGACGTAATGAACGATGTACGAGTGTGTTGCAGGAAACGCATCAATCATAAAGCAAGACACCTGAATGACGTAATTTTTAACACATTGACCGCCGATTAAGTCCAACTGACTTCTACTACCAACACTAATTGAAAAGGAAATTATTCCTTTAAGATCTTCGCATTTATAAAAATTCTAGTAGAAATTTATTCATTCAAATTCCATTAGGACATTAAAATATTACAAGATTTCTTTAAGGGACGCATTAACGGTTTTAAATATTTCACTTAAGTAGAAAAATTGAAGTATTTTTCCTTTTGCATATAGAATCTAATTATTATCGATACAATAACAAATATTTCCAAAATACTTCAAACAATCGCTTAAAGATATCTAAAAGGTATCTGAAAGATAAAAATAACAACGAAATAATTCTCAAAACACTGTCTATACAAATATATAAAAAATAGTAATAATTCCCAAATATAACAATAATTCCTAGAACACTATCTAAACAACTATCTCTATAAAAATACTTCAAAAAGAAAGATGATAATAATCCACGATATAGGTAATAATAATAATTCCCAAGACACTGTCCAACCAGCTACGTACATCTGCCAAAAACTAGCAAAACTCTTTTTCGTTGTATATAGTTTCCCTTGTCCCTTAACAGCCAGCGAGCCAACAAACAACAGCTTTGGACGTACATACGCCGTTTGGTCCGACCGGAAGTTCCACGAAACTAGGAAAAAGCGCGGGTTGGAAGCGTTTTCGTAACCGGTATCGATTTCGAATACGAATAGCCGGGTGATTAATGTTACGAGAGTTCTCGTGAGTCATAAAGTTAGCGTTTCACAGCTAGGCGAAAGAGGAAGAAGAAAGAGGTGGTCCTTACAACCTCTTTCCCACCCACCTCGAGAAAACGAGAACCGACAAGAGTAGAGAAAGGCGATAGCAGACATTGGCAGTGTAAATTTATCGTGGTGTTAAGCCGTTAATATTTGCGCTCGCCGGCATTAAATCAATGAAAAATATTCTAATTGGAATATGAAAAAAGTTGGCACGCTGTGACAGAGGGTGCCGATGCCAATTGGAAATAAAGAGGGGGGCAGGGGGGCGAGGTGAAAAAAGGAGAAAAGTCGGTGTCCCTCACCCCACCCACTCACTTGACTCGCAGCATGCCGCAGCACCCCTCGTGTTACAGAATAGAATATAAATTGTCTTAACGAGAGGCGTGCAAAGAAAAATGGCGAAAAGTTTTTCCTTATCCGACTGTGAGAAGGAGAAGGGCTCGTTCGCAAACCTGTATTGACCTATAGATTCTACGACTGCTCCCCCGGCCACAAAGCAAGTTTACTAATTTCGCGAATCGCCCGTTCGTTTGCCAACGTACATTAACGTCACGTAATATCGCCGCGCCAAGAATGGGCGGAAATTGCAGATAGTGCGCTGTACATACTGTGTTGCTAATTGCGTTACATATATGGTTTATTGTATGTGGCGGAGTTTGAGATTTTCGAATGGTCGCACAGGGCGTAGATTCTCAAAGTGTGGCTCGAACGCACTGGTGAATTGATTTTAGGTGAAAATCTAGGCTAAGTAACTGTAACACAAAACAAGAACATACATTGTAAATACATGAACAAGCGAATGTGCAAATCCTCTTTATGGCCGGGAGGATAAAAAATAAAAAAAAACTGAATTAAATAAACTTAAAGATAATAGTATCGTTAACTTACAGCTGTGATGCTGTACTATACTAACTGCAATAACGTCTTTTAAATGACTAAAGTTTAGAAGATTTAACTTTATTTTGTATTCTACGTTCTCTACGATAGAGGCCGGTACGATGAGATTGAATGAAATGAAAAATTCCAAAATTAAGTGATCTAATCCTAAAGTATTATGATCCCCAATGATGAACAGAGTCAAGAGTTAGAAAATTGCCAAATTTTGATGTTAAAGAATTCAAAAGTTGCAAAATTTAGATAAAGAGTCGGAAATCTCGGGTATTAGGAGATGACGATTCGGTAACACGTAGGATTTCGAAGAACGCGGCACGCGTGAAGTTAAAACCCATCTCTGCCCGTGACTCGACGATTTCCAATAGCGATCGACCGATCGCGATCCGAACCGCCAATAATTTCTCTTCTAGCCGACCGGCTGACACGAAATCCCAGGTTTTACTTCGAATACCGCATTGATTAACTTATCTAATCTAATTTAAATGCGAACGTAGGGTGAAGTGGGAGGCCACGGGAGGGCATAGGAGGCGGTGAGTGAGGAACACCGACAAGAGGAAACCAGAGGCGGGAACGAAGGGTGAAGAGGGTGGCTGTCTAGCTACCACTTTTCGTTCCGAGGACTGCAGGGGATGAACCCTTGTGGTGTAACCATGTGATACTACACACAAAGAGAGATAGACAGAGACAGATACAGAGACGAAGAGTGGGAACATTAAGCGCGATAGTGAGGCGCCTGGGCAAGGAACGAGACAAAGAGAAAAATGGGGATTCGAGAGAATGTAAGGGTGGAATGTTCGAATCCGAGGCGAGAGTGAACGAGAAAAGGAAGACACGTGGAATGTGTGTGTACAGGTTACTTCAGAGTCAGGGGTCGATTAAGCAAAAGTTATTAGAGACGACAAAGTGGGGACGATAAAGAATAGATGTATTTTTTGTGTAGACAATAAGACTATATAAGGGAAATTGAGTTTTAAAGTATGTACAGCTCTGATCGTAAGAGTTAAAATATTTAGAGATATTATATTAGAGTACCTTCTAATCTTATACACAATGTGGTACATAGTTGTATCTGGATTACATACATGGTACTCAGATTATCAGTAAAATAAAATATATTTGGTCACAAATCTCTTAAATACTTTTGAAGAACAAGAGAGACTAAAATACAAAAAACATCATTTTCATTCATTTAGTGCAAGATATTATATAAAATATATACAATTAATGAATTACACATGTGCAACTTATAAGATAAAAAGTATCTATATATAAAGATATGAAATTTATATTATATATAATATTGTTTAATATTTAATACTCTCTCAGGTTACACAACATAAAAAGGTTAAACAAAAAATTGTCCTCTTATCATCCCCTACTACTTTCTTCTCGATTAGTCCACAATTCTGAAATAGCCTGTACACTAAGAGGGTGAGAAAAGGGAGGAAGACATCAGAAAAGGAAAGGGTAGGGGGTGGTAGAGAGCGGTTGCACGAGATAATGAGAGAACCGAGGGTGAAACAAAATGAAGCGATCTAGTATGGGCGGGTCGTAGGAGCAGTAATACGAACAGGGTGTACCGTGTTGAGTAAGGCGAGTTAGGGCATACAAACCGCTGTGTAACGTATCAAATCGAGTGCTGAATCCCGGATTAAATCGGCGCTCGGGAACGAAACACGGTGGGGTGAAAAGTGGGAGTGGTGGAGGGATCGGCGAACGACATCCGTGGAACGCCGGCGAAGACGAGGAAATCCACGTAGGTACAATTTTGACTAACGCTAACGTTCGCGTGAATGGGAGACACGAACGGGCCCGAGGACCGTTCCCGTTTAATTTTATTCGCTGTAAACGCCGTCGCGGCGGCAGAGAAACGTTCAACACAAGAATATGATACCTTACCGGTGTAGTGTGTTGCGTAAAGAACATGGCTTTTGGGCTTCTTCCTTGGTTCCGTCATTCTTTCTTATGAAACCTTGTATTAACTTCAGTCCAGCCGAATTTATTGTGTTTCAACGTTCATCTGTGAAATATATGGTTATTTATAAGTAATTTGTATAGTTAGATTAATTTGTAGTAATAGTATTTGAATATAATTATAGAAGAGAAATCAATAGTGAATTAATCATTTAGAGGTAGCATTTAGCATCTTTTTATAGAGTTAGGAAATTCTAGATATGAGTTACTCTACAAAGATTATTTGCACAAAACTATATGTAGCTACGAGGAGTATAACGAAAACAAGCACAAGAATCTAAAATTCGTGTACTATACATATTCGAAAAATAATGCGTAAAATATAGGTTATGTTGTAATATAATTATGATCGATGTAAGAGAAACACTCTAATTATGCTTGTATTGAATGTATTATATGATTCTTGGTATTCTTACCGCAATAATTTGAAAGCGCAATATTTCATTGGTCGTAGAACAACACATGATTGACAGTGCAATAATAACGGCGATTACGACAATATTGAAGCACCGGCTGACTTTGTTACCGAACATAACTGGGGGATTTCCCCTCTGATACTCGG